TATATATATGCAGTTCTTGTTCAAATTATTAGACGCACTATAAGATTCTATGTAAAATCTTAATTATCAAGTGATACTATACTACAGTTTTATTGTTTTTATGCAGCTGAAACCGGTTTGCACTTGTTTACGTTCGTGTATCAATTGGTTAACATTGTAATGCAATGCATTACAAATAAATACAAATAAGAAGTAAGTAAGAAATCTCCTGAATAAAAGCTCATTACATGCATGTTTAAATATAAAAGTATTTCATATAAACTCATGCAAAGCATGTAATTATTAAAGAAACTACCATGCGTCTAGCAATTTGATCGAATTATTATAATGTGATAATATAATACCTGATGTAATAAATATTTTATATTTATATAATATTTATATAATAATACATCGTCTGATTTACCCAATCGTTTAATTTATATTGTAAATCGCCGAATTTAACCAATTGATACTCGAACGTAAAGAGGTGCAACGGTTTCAGTTAATAATATTTAACTGAATAATTATTATTTATACTTTTAAAATAACTTAGAGATTTATAATCAAGCATGATCATATTACTGAAGCAACTCAGCTTTGCTATCCTTATTTTGTTGCTTGATATAACTGCGGAAACATGATTTAAACTTAAATGGAAATATGAACTTTAACCTGATCAGAAATATTATATAACTTGGTTGGAAACAGGGGTTGAATTTGAATATGAATAAATTAGAATCGAAACATGACGTAAGTTTGTATGAAAGTATTGTACAGCTTTAATGGAAACATGGTCCAACCTATGAATAACAACATGCTGCAAACTTCAGCAGAAATATGATTTATCTTAAATGGACAAATTGTTTTAAAAATTATCTTAATGAAATATTATGAATTGAATTAAATGTGCTACTATATTTACAAAATGGCTTTTATTTCAGATGTTGCGGTACATTATAAAACTGAAATTAAATAAATAAAAAAAATGCGAAAGTAAAAATAGAAAAGATTGTCTTTTCATTAAATTTTGATGAAAGCGTTGAGTTTTTTTTAAATTTTTTATATTGCTTGAATTTGTATCGAAAATTGAAAACATCACTTTTTTATGCACATCGTGGGATTAAAAGTATTTTCAAAGCGTGTTCATAATCACTTATTGCATATTAAATTGATGTCTTTAAAAATTGAGGAATTTTTAAAGCTCGTTAAAACTTATTTATTGTAATTAAATCGTAAACAGTTTCAGAATTTATACAGTTTCTTCACATTTTTCTCTAAATTTAAACTATAGACAGTTTTAAAATTTAGAAAGCTTATTTGAATTCATTCATATGAATTGAATCTCTTAATAGTTTAGAATTTTTAAAGCGTTTTGAAACTTATTTATTGCAATCAAGCCATAAGCAGTTTTAGAATTTATACAACTTGTCCTAATTTTTTCTTCAAATAAACAATAAACAGTTTTAGAATTTTATAAAGCAAGTTATAAAGCTTAATCCATACTCACTTATAAAATTTAATTACTCAATAATTTTAGAATTTTTAAAGTTTGAAAGCTTGTCCAAATTTTCTTATTGCAGTTAAGACTTCAGCAGTTTTAGAGTTTTCAAGGTTTATCCGTACATCACACATTGGTTAGATAATTGATGTGTTTCTTACTTGTGCTGTTTGGCATCAGATGATTGGGTGGATTTTTCGGACGATCCATAATATTATTATTTGATAAAGCTTCTTTAACTGCATCGAAATTCCCTAAGACAACCACAAGCTTTCTACCTAAATACAAACTGAAAAAAAAAATGCTTTGTGTGATTAAAAGATGTATCTGCTGATTTAATAATAATATTTATGAATTCAATGACAACTAAAAAATGAGGAATATCTAGAATTTATAAAAAATTTATAACATATGTTTTTAATACCATATTAATAGCGCATTTAGGTACTGGAACCTATATAGTGCATTTAAAAGCTTATTTGAAACATAAATCTTTTATGAAATTGATGATTTAGGAAATAGAATTCCTAAAAATTACACAATTATAGATACTTAATCTCGCAAAACTTTCGCTGCTCACATGTTAATCAGAACTAACTACAATCTCTATTTTAATTTAAAACAATGTTTGGGATTTAAAGCGTTTTTTGCTAAGTTTTAAATATTAATTAATAATATTGCAATTTATCTTAAGTATTAAAATATTTTAAATATTAAAATTAATTTTGATTAGAAAATAATTAAAAAAAGAAAAAAGTTATTTAGAACAATATTCTAACCTATAAATGGGTCCATATTTATTTGTCATGTTGTGAAGTGTACGATATGCTTCTTGTCCTAAAAAAGGTAAATAACCGACTATAGGCAGTCCCAAGGGTCCAGGAGGTAAGTTTCTCTCTCTTTTTATCCATAAGTAACTCAAATAAGTAATCAACAGAAGAGTTAATAATGAAAATTGAATTTTAAATTCGTCTAATAGAATCAACAAGAATTCCATATTACTCAATATTCAAAATAGTTAAGAAAGGAGAAAAAAATTTGTCTCGACTTATTCATCGAAAACACTCGTCCAAAAATTTTGCACAATAAATGATAAGATTGAAAATTAATAACTGTGTATCTATCAGATAAAATATGATTAATTTAAAACGTAACTGTTGTAGGTTAACAAGATAACTATTTCATAATACAACTATTTATAACATGCATTGTTGAATTTTTGACGCATTTTTCAAAATTAAAAACAGTTAGTTCTTTTGTGGTTTTTGCAGCCCAGTTTAAATTAAAATTAAAAGACCGGATCGAAAGTTTTTTTAATGAATATTAGTTTCGACGATTATTTCTGTCAAATTAGAGTTCGAAGTTGTGACTTGAGTTCGATACTTAAAACCATTCACAACAAGCTGTATTTGTCTGCAGAAATTCAAATGGAAATGTCATAATTTTGTGAAGCAGTTTATTAAAGTTCGGACCACTTAATGTTAATTTTTGCTTATTTCACTAGATTTTAAGAACTTTTTATTCATATTGAAAATTTTTTGCTCTCACATATAACATTTGTCAACATGTCCAGGCAAATAGTAATTTTCAATTTATTATTTTTTATTATTTTATTTAATAATAATAGAAAAAATTAGAATTATTAGGTATATAAATTTTTGTATCACTTTAAAGATTATGATTTTATATGGCAAAATACCAAATTTCAACGAAATCGGCCAAATATTTCCTGAGAAATCGAATTTTAAAGAAGTCAGATATTTAAAATTCAATTTCTCAATAGCTATTCCACCGACTTCGTTCAAATTGTATTTTGCCATATAAAATTGCATTCTTTAAAATGGTGTAAAAATTTGACATTTCAAAACATTTCAAAAATCTTTTCGACTACTATTTAATGTAATGAATAATAATTAAAAATAAGTTTTTCCATAGAATTTTCTTTGAATAAGCGAATTTTGTAATAATGTCCAAAATTTTTCCAATTCGCTTAAAAAAGTTCTCGAGATCTTTCGAAATACGCAAAAAGTAAACTAAACACTAAGAAGTTTCAAACTTTGGACCACCTTCCTTAAGGACAGAAATCATAATCCGTTCTTAGTTGGTGAAACTTCGATCATATTCGAACAAAAGTTATGTAGGGTATTTTTTATTTATTTTGAGTTGTGTACACAATGAGCTGATAAATAAAACGATATTACTTTTCGATATTCCTAACGTATTACGAATAAAAAAAATACCAGTTTATACATACTTTCCCCCTCTAGAATACGCATTTTGAACTTCTGAAATAGTTCTTCGTTTATTATTCTTTTTTATTCAAACAGGAAGTAAATAATTTGATGTTATCAGTTAAAAATTGAAGTTCATTATACCCTTTCTTATCAGAAAGTATCGAAAATAGCTTTATAAGTGATGAAATAATCAACTTTTTCAGTTTTTACATTTTTCTATAATCTGTGAGTGTGAGGACATAGTCATAGAAGATTAAGCGAAACTAACACGTACTAAAAAGGAAATAAACTTATACATTTTGCATCATCGCCAATCGAACCAGCCTTCAAATCAGTCAAATAAGCTTTTCAAAATATTTAATGATGCTCTCGTTAAGCTTAATAATTAGAACCCAGATTTTGACAACTTAAATTTTTTTTGAAAGTGCCCTTAAAATTGTTTAACACCAAGCAAAACCTAAAATGTTGAAAATAATCTGGAATATATTTAAGAGCCTAAAAAATTAAAAGGAAGACTATTCCTTTGACTCAAATGCGACCTCTCTTGTATATACTTTTTTTTCGGACGCTCTAATTACAAGCAAAAATATATTTTCATGCTTTTAATTATAAAAAAACAATCTAATAGTAATCTAAATAAAGCTGTATGTTATCAGAATTAAAGTTTTACTTTAATATATAATTTAAAAGCAGTCGCTTGAATTTTTTTTCCCAATCACATTCAAAAATTTATCAATAGTTAATTTTGTAAATTAACGAAATTTTAATAATGACTGTTCTTAGATTCTCTAATGACACTTAGATTTCTAATAATGACTCTTAGCTTTAAATAACTACTAATAAGTTCACTGTTGAAAAATTACTGTTTTGAAGTGAACCGTGTTTGAAAGATTTTAACTTTAAACCATCGCTGGGATTCGAATCCGGTTCACCTCATTGGAAAGCGAGCGCTCTATCCCTCGAACCACTTCAGCTCCAGTTGATGATATTAGACATACATATTTATTTTAGAATCTTTAATGAGCTTGATAATGGAAAAACTTTACTAGTTTCAAGAATTATTAAAGGAAAAAAAGCCGGTATGTTTCACGCCTTCAAAAGCGGGTGTCCATTCTCTAGCCTCATCACATGGAAATAAGGAAAACAAAACAAATTTGATAAAAAGGAAACTGAAAGTTGCCAACAAAAAAGTGAAAAAAGGCTGAAAGAGAAAAGACTTTGGGCTGATGTGACAGTAGTGAAAAGAATTTTTGCGTTTTCGGAATTAAATTTTCGCGCAAGGTCCCACTAATCTGCAGCAACAGATGATTTCTTCAATTCTTGCTGACGGACACGCCTGTCGTATTCCTTTAATTTAAGTTTTAAAACTCCTCTTATTTGCCTAACGTTGTCAAGATTGCAATGGTAAATACGGAATTAGCATTTTTATAAATGCCTAAGTGATATTCAATACTGACAGAATCTTCAAGGGATTTAAATTTAATTTTGTTAACAAGCCTGTAACTGACTTTAAAATCGAAACGGGACAGGATATTAGTTATTTTGTAGAATATGGAGTAAATTCACTTTAAAAATTGGAAGAGGAAGGACGTTTGAGTCTCGTAAGAGCTGAATCAACTCTAGAAGGGTGATGGGTACAAAGAAGGCTTCAAAGGTATTTTTTTACTTTGTTATGTACTTGAAACTTTGTCCCGTAATTGGAAGGATTTGATAGTTTGCTGAAATTTTCAGCAAGAGTATCAGCGATGACTTTAAGATTAAATATTTCAGTTTCACAGCAAGAGAGTGGATGAAGTTAAATTCGAAATTTCAAGAAGAATTGGAGTAAAGGTTAAATACAAGTACAACAAAAGTACGAAAAGCAGAATTTTTCCAGAAATTAGAGTGATTAGAAATAATGCGAGAGGACGATAAAAATGGATAAATATGTACGATGAACAGAGGTGAAAAAATTATAAAAGGAGGGAAAAGGTATCCCAGTTGAGAAAAAAAATCGGAAGCATTTAAATAGTGTAAAAATAGAATAAGTTAGAGAACCTAAGAGAATGAAAGATGCTATTTTCAAAAAAATGCAATCTTAACTTTGTGAAAACCAACTTCATCAACGTGAGAGTCGTTGTAAAAAAGTTTTAACAGCTATATAATTGATGGTAAAGTTTGAAAACTGAAACAAAAGTTAACGAACGTACCAGTTGCAAAACGTTAATTTTTAGAAAATGTTATCTAAACTTTGTGAAGGGCAATTCCATTTGCTTGAGATTCATTGAAAGAAACAGCTGTATACAGATTGTTAAATGTTTTCTCAAATTTAGGATGGAAATTGAAAACGTTTAACGAATCTACTAGCATGGAAAACGTTTATTTGCGAAAAGGTAATATTAACCTTATGAAGGCCAATTCACTCCATAAAAGAGTCTTTCAAAGAAACTTTTAACAGCTATATACAAGCTGTTAAGTGTTTTTTCAAAGTTGGAATGAAATTTGACAAACGTTAACGAGCCTATTTGTATGGAAAACGTTAATTTGCAAAAATACAAACTAAACTTTGTGAAGGTCATATCCATTCGCATGAGAGTCATTGCTGTCGACTGTTAAATGTTTTTTAAAATTGGAGATAAAAACTGTTGAAAGTAAATTAGTCTATGAGTATGAAAAATGTTATTTTATAAAAAAAATGTTATTTAAAATTTACGAAAGCTTATTACGTCTTTAATGTCATGGCGAAATTTCGGCATATTTACATTTACCAACCATATCTCTTTGAATTCATACTTCACGTTTCATTTTCTACATCGAATACTGAGGCATTCTATAAAAAATGAGAACAATTAAATTCTAATGCTGGCATATTGTTTAAAAGAATTTTATTTTCTCTTTGTTGCATTCAAAAAATCGTCTGAAAATGCAATTCTTATTTATTACCACACTTTCCTACATGTGTATAAGAATATATTTAAGTAATAAGAACGAAATTTCATCTTAGCTTTCGCTTATATAACAACTAAAAACAAAAATGTATCTCGTCTATCACTCATAAGAAAGACCTTGATTTAAAGGCAAAAAATAAAAACTATACCTGCTTGTAATATATATATTAAACAAATCACGCCTGAAGTTAGTTGCCGAAGGTCGAGTGGGACTTAAAATATTTTTGAAACCCACAGGAATAAAAAAAGTTTTCATTTATTAGAAAATATTTTTGAAAACTGGGGTTTTCATCCTATCTTTTACGGAAGCATCCTTTTTTGTTTATTTAGGACAAGCATCTTTTTTCGATAAAGAGGTATATTTTTTTGTGATAACATCTTGATTATTCGACAGAGTGGGATAATATTTTGAATGAAGTAGTCGGTTATTTTCTACGATGCATGCTGATATAATATTAGCGTCTATTCTACATTGGGCAAAAACTCATCTTGCCACTTCATCCTTGGTAGTAGCTTTCTCTGCCTGGTTTTTTCTATATCGAATTTTCAACAAACCCAGAAAGAACTTTAAACTAGCACCAGGACCATGGTTCAATTTACCATTCGTTGGCTATTTACCGTTTTTGGGTTCAGACTTCATCAGCGGATTCGCAAAACTACAAAAAAAATATGGACCTATTTTTAGGTAAGTTATGTTATTTATTTTCCAAGTTGTATTTTATTTTATTTTGTAGCCGACTTATTCTGAATTCATAACTATCGAAGTTCAACTTGACATTTGAACACAATTTTTTGAACACAATTCAAAAGACTACTGGATCAAACAAATTGACAATTTAACCTTCGTGGAAGACTTTCGAGGGAACGAGACCGCATTTGCGCTACACGGAGAGGAAAACCACGAAATTCTTCCAGGTTAAACTGAACAACAAGGGGATTATAAGAAATCATAATCCGTCTACCATTGGAGATATTTTATGTCTGCACTGTGATCTGTGCGAGCCGGGTATAGAATTCATAGCAACCATCCACCGATGGGATTCGAACCTGGGTACCTCATCTGGAGGCGAATGCTCTATACCAGGGGTGGCGAACCTTTATACACCAACGTGCCTTTATTTTCTAAAATTTTTTTAATGAAATCACAGACGTGCCTTTATTTTCTAAAATTTTTTTTAATGAAATCACAGACGTGCCATCAAATAATTTTGACTTCATGATTATTGGGAAAATAATAATACTAAATACTATCAACTCCAAACTCTTTATTTACATTGAAAAGAAAATACATTTCGCAATGTCTCAGTTATACGCGTAATTCAACATAAAGTAGCATCAGTGGGACTTCTGTTTTTGCAGATTAAATTACAAATAACTTATATTAGGTTGTAAGATATTAGTTTAAGCAGGACTGTTGATTTTTTTGCTAGTTACTTATTGTTAGCTTGTTTTTTTATGGTTATTAATTGTTCTTTTAGCATTAATTGTTAAATTTTTTATTAATAATTGTTTATTATTTTGTTTGTTTTTTGTGAATTTTAATTTAATTGTTACATATGCTTCATAGTGCGTGACATTTGTGTAATAACAATTCATAGAGCAATAACAATTGTGATCGGTGGCGTGCCCTATTGTGTCCCGTGCCATAAATGGTACGCGTGCCATTGGTTCGCCATCCCTGCTCTATTCCATGAGCCACTACTGTTCTTAATTGTATTTTGCAGCTTTTTTTACCATCGTTTAATAGCTGATTTTTATCATACTTGGGGCTATTAATGTTTATATGCGTAGCGTTGAAATTTTTAACTCGGTCCAGAAGGCAAGTAGATTCCGTTCAAACACTAGAGCAAAGAACGCCTTCTTAAACAGCTTGTTCGAGGAAATCATCTGCATTTGTGTTACATGGGCAGAAAAAACATGAAAATCTCTCGTAAATAGCTATACTGCAGCAAGGGATTCGAATCCATGATCCATTTAAATCGAGTGTTTTAAATCAGCTATTTTGTTATGAGAAAAATGTGGTTCACGAATCGACAAGCTATCCATTAAGCACTGCATCTATTTTTCTATTTTTTCTATTTATTACGCCTTTTTGCTATTTTGTTCTTGAAGCATGACTAAGCGAAAAATTTAAAATACAGTTTGCATGGAATGTAGCATTTGAGATTTGGTTTGTTTATACTTTTTCAGATCATACTTTTTTTTTTAAACGTTATTTTGAAAGTCATATTCTGCTAATATTTAAACTTTTTCCCTTATTTCGATTACAATTAAAACATTTTATTTTTAACTGTAAGAGTTTTTTCTAATGAAATTACGGTTTAAATTTCATGTATTTTTTAAAAGGAACACAGATCATAAAATCTGTAAAACTTTTTTTTTTCAAAAAACAAATGCTTTTAGTGTTTTGAATTTTANGTAATAACAATTCCTAGTGCAATAACAATTGTGATCGGTGGCATGCCCTATTGTGTCCAGTGCCATAAATGGCACCCGTGCCATTGGTTCGCCATCCCTGCTCTATACCATGAGCCACTACTGTTCTTAATTGTATTTTGCAGCTTTTTTTTACCATCGTTTAATAGCTGATGTTTATCATACTTGGGGCTATTAATGTTTATATGCGTAGCGTTGAAATTTTTAACTCGGTCCAGAAGGCAAGTAGATTCCGTTCAAACACTAGAGCAAAGAACGCCTTCTTAAACAGCTTATTCGAGGAAATCATCAGCATTTGTGTTACATGGACAGAAAAAACATGAAAATCTCTCGTAAATAGCTATACTGCAGCAAGGGATTCGAATTCATGATCCATTTAAATCGAATGTTTTGAATCAGCTATGTTGTTATGAGAAAAATGTGGTTCACGAATCGACAAGCTATCCATTAAGCACTGCATCTATTTTTCTATTTTTTCTATTTATTACGCCTTTTTGCTATTTTGTTCTTGAAGCATGACTAAGCGAAAAATTTAAAATACAGTTTGCATGGAATGTAGCATTTGAGATTTGGTTTGTTTATACTTTTTCAGATCATACTTTTTTTTTTAAACGTTATTTTGAAAGTCATATTCTGCTAATATTTAAACTTTTTCCCTTATTTCGATTACAATTAAAACATTTTATTTTTAACTGTAAGAGTTTTTTCTAATGAAATTACGGTTTAAATTTCATGTATTTTTTAAAAGGAACACAGATCATAAAATCTGTAAAACTTTTTTTTTTCAAAAAACAAATGCTTTTAGTGTTTTGAATTTTATTATTTTTTTACCATGTACTACTAAAGTAAACAAAAAATGGTTCATAGATCTTAATAAGACATTTTTAAAATAATAAAATAAATAAAAATGTTAAAACGAAATTTTCAATAAAACGGAAAGTATGTACTTCATTATTAAATGTCGATAAAAAATATCCAAATGTTAATTAATTTTTCACCTGACAAGTCTTTGATAAAATAAATTAATCATAATCAATATTATTTTAAAACATAATACTAATTAAAGTACTAAATATTACTAGCTTAAAATTTAAATATTACCAGTTTAAAGTTTTTAGCGTTATTTGCTATTACTGATTGAAAAAATAAAAAAAAAATTTCTTATTTTTCGTTTCTAATTATTTGTTAAAAAAATTTACAAAAATAGTTTGAAAATATTTTACAAATTTCACAACAAAATTTAAAGATAAAGACTTTCAAATTTCACGCAGTCATTCCTTATAGGTTTTGAGATATATCGTTTAAAACAAAATAAAATGCAGAAAAAAAGTGATTGAAGAGAAAAAGCATTTTAGGTTGGGTGTTTGCTTGAAGTTTACGTAGGACAAAATGAATCTAGTCTCTAAGTTTTATCCCGATAAAATGATACATATATTTTTGCCATTTAAAAGAATTTTCATTATTTTCAAGTCAAAATATACCATAAATGCTTAAAGATTTTTATGAGCAGGATTCTCTTGAAAAATATAAATACATTTTATTAAACATAAATTACCGTATATCCCGTGTGTATAAATCAATATGATGTAGAAGTTGACTACCTATTTTTGGTTGCGAGATAACGAATTTCTGGAATGTCGGTTGACCGCTGTAAAAAACCAAATCTGTAAACATCTATATTGTAAAATTATTGAAAGCGTTGAATAGGGGCGGGGAAAGCTTGGTTGGTAGGAAGTTTGGCCCATGTACAAGAGGTTGTCCTGAGTTCGATCCCCAAAGAAGACTCCCCGTTTATTAATTGGTGACTGGGGCACGTTAAACCAGTCGAGTTACAAAATTCTCCAAGTTCCCATAACAAATCCATACCTCTGGGGGTACTGAATTGGAGATTGATCGTTCTCTGGTTTGGGTCAAAATTACGATCTGTGGAAGAATGAATGGAAGTATGAATGGGTCCGCCCTTTAAAACGGACTATGACCGGTGTGTGTGACTGAAATCGTATTCTTGGCCATAGATTGCGTCGCTGAAAATAAAGAAACTCACCCTCTGCCTTAAATTCGCTTGGTTTAACCAAGCAGGCTTGCTGGTATTGGCAAGTGTCATTAGAAAGAGCAACAACAGCAAAGTGTTGAATTTTGGATTCTTTCGATGGGGTTGACGATGATTTTTTGTAGAAATCAGCAGAAGAAGAAGTAAAATCCATTTCAGAGTCTGATCCAAATAACAACACTGCTTACTTTATTCAATCCAACACAAATGATGCTCTGGAATTTGAAAATTTGAAGTTTTATGGTATGTTTTAAAAGTTTTCATTTTTAAAAATTCTTGAATAAATTATCTTAACTTTTCTTACTTTCAATTTTTTTCTAAAAAAAAGTTTAAAGCATTGTCTCTAAAAAAAATTTTATTTGTAAAGAAAATAAGAAGAGGGAAAAAGCAAAATTAATTGTATTTAACATACTCAAATTGAAAATTAAAAATAGTTTTTTAAAAGGGTAAATTGATACAGATGTATTCATTATTGTTTATAATAATACATCGTTATTTAATGATCAACGGATCTGCGATTTTATTACTGATGTATAAATCAACCCTCTGATTTTCCTAAAATTATGGGAGTTTAAAAAGTCAACTTATACACCGGAATATACGATTTAAAAATTATTAATTTATTTATAAAATATATGCTGTTTATTTACTAAAATAACTGAAGCATCACTAAAACCACACAAAGCAGTAAAACTCAGCATTCTTTATTAAACTACAGCTAATAAATACGTATAAAAATTAACTATAAAAACGGTGAAAATTGAAGTTAATAATATCAACGGTATAAAAATTATTTGAAACTATTTGCAAAATAAAATAGATGTTGTTTTTTTGCAATCAAAACAAAACCAAAACATCTAATTTTCACACAAAATAGCACAATTCAGAATTCTTTTTTATTAACCACTAAAATTAATATTTATGAATTATGAAAGAAAAGTAGCTTGATGATTCATTTATTATTTATCCCTTCTTTTTATTAAATTTTGGGGAAATTTTTTTTTTTTTTTTTAAAATTATAAAAGTGCACTTTTGAATCACAAGCCAGGTGTACATACTATAGCATTATTTTGTGAGATATTTTTGAAAAATGATGCCTTATATGATTTAAGAAAAATTTAATTACAAGTAAATTAACAAAGAAGGTAAATCTGACTCCGTAACGATTCAATAAAAAGACCTTCAAAAGTTTCACATTT